ATAACTACTAGCAGACAAGCACGATAACTACTACCAGACACAAGCACGATAACTACTACCAGACAAGCACGATAACTACTACCAGACACAAGCACGATAACTACTACCAGACACAAGCACGATAACTACTACCAGACACAAGCACGATAACTACTACCAGACACAAGCACGATAACTACTACCAGACACAAGCACGATAACTACTACCAGACAAGCCCGATAACTACTACCAGATACAAGCACGATAACTACTACCAGACAAGCACGATAACTACTACCAGACAAGCACGACAACTACTACCAGACAAGCACGATAACTACTACCAGACAAGCACGATAACTACTACCAGACACAAGCACGATAACTACTACCAGACAAGCACGATAACTACTACCAGACACAAGCACGATAACTACTACCAGACACAAGCACGATAACTACTACCAGACACAAGCACGATAACTACTACCAGACACAAGCACGATAACTACTACCAGACACAGGCACGATAACTACTACCAGACACAAGCACGATAACTACTACCAGACAAGCACGACAACTACTACCAGACACAAGCACGATAAGTACTACCAGACACATGCACGATAACTACTACCAGACAAGCACGATAACTACTACCAGACAAGCACGATAACTACTACCAGACACAATCACGATAACTACTACCAGACACAAGCACAATAACTACTGCCAGACACAAGCACGATAACTACTACCAGACACAAGCACGATAACTACTACCAGACACAAGCACAATAATTACTGCCGGACACAAGCACGATAACTACTACCAGACACAAGCACGATAACTACTACCAGACAAGCACGATAACTACTACCAGACACAAGCACGATAACTACTACCAGACACATGCACGATAACTACTACCAGACACAAGCACGATAACTACTACCAGACACATGCACGATAACTACTACCAGACAAGCACGATAACTACTACCAGACAAGCACGATAACTACTACCAGACACAAGCACGATAACTACTGCCAGACACAAGCACGATAACTACTACCAGACACAAGCACAATAACTACTGCCGGACACAAGCACGATAACTACTACCAGACACAAGCACGATAACTACTACCAGTCACAAGCACGATAGCTACTCCCAGAGATACAAGCACGATAGCTACTCCCAGAGACACAAGCACGATACCTACTACCAGAGATACAAACACGATACCTACTACCAGAGATACAAGCACGATACCTACTACCAGAGATACAAGCACGATACCTACTACCAGAGATACAAGCACGATAGCCGATCCTTTCCTGCCACTAAACTAATTTACGATACACCTTCAGGAGCTCGTGAAGATACTGACGAATTTATCTCCCTAACACCACCTCCTCCTCTCCCCTTCCCAATCCCCCTCCTCTCCCAGTCCCTCTCCTGCCCCTTCTCTCCCTCTCAGATGGAGGGGGAGGGAAAATGACCTCTATCTATCATTTCCGCCTATTAATCTATCGTCTATAATCTATGCGGGGCGGCTGTTGAATAGACTAGTTCTCGTAGTGGGCAATTATGTAGCCGCCGTGGGTGGGCAAGAGGTGTGGTCCTGGGTGGGCAAGAGGTGTGGTCCTGGGTGGGCAAGAGGTGAGGTCCTGAGTGGACAAGATGTGTGGTCCTGGTTGGGCAAGAGGTGTGGTCCTGGGTGGGCAAGAGGTGTGGTCCTGGTTGGGCAAGAGGTGTGGTCCTGGGTGGGCAAGAGGTGTGGTCCTGGGTGGGCAAGAGGTGAGGTCCTGGGTGGGCAAGAGGTGTGGTCCTGGGTGGGCAAGAGGTGTAATCCTGGTTGGGCAAGAGGTGTAGTCCTGGTTGGGCAAGAGGTGTGGTCCTGGTTGGGCAAGAGGTGTGGTCCTGGGTGGGCAAGAGGTGTGGTCCTGGTTGGGCAAGAGGTGTGGTCCTGGTTGGGCAAGAGGTGTGGTCCTGGTTGGGCAATAGGTGTTGTCCTGGGTGGGCAAGAGGTGTGGTCCTGGTTGGGCAAGAGGTGTGGTCCTGGGTGGGCAAGAGGTATCCTGGGTGGGGTGGGCAAGAGGTGTGGTCCAGGGTGGGTAAGAGGTGTGGTCTTGGGTGGGCAAGAGGTGTGGTCCTGGGTGGGCAAGAGGTGTAGTCCTGGGTGGGCAAGAGGTGTGGTCCTGGGTGAGCAAGAGGTGAGGTCCTGGGTGGGCAAGAGGTGTGGTCCTGGGTGGGCAAGAGGTGTGGTCCTGGGCGGGCAAGAGGTGTGGTCCTGGGTGAATAAGAGGTGAGGTCCTGGTTGGGCAAGAGGTGTGGTCTTGGGTGGGCAAGAGGTGTGGTCCTGGGTGGGCAAGAGGTGAGGTCCTGGTTGGGCAAGAGGTGTGGTCCTGGGTGGACAAGAGGTGTGGTCCTGGGTGGGCAAGAGGTGAGGTCCTGGGTGGGCAAGAGGTGTGGTCCTGGTTGGGCAAGAGGTGTGGTCCTGGGTGGGCAAGAGGTGTGGTCTTGGGTGGGCAAGAGGTGTGGTCCTGGGTGGGCAAGAGGTGTGGCCCTGGGTGGGCAAGAGGTGTGGTCTTGGGTGGGCAAGAGGTGTGGTCCTGGGTGGGCAAGAGGTGTTGTCCTGGGTGGGCAAGAGGTGTGGTCCTGGGTGGGCAAGAGGTGAGGTCGTGGGTGGACAAGAGGTGTGGTCCTGGGTGGGCAAGAGGTGAGGTCGTGGGTGGACAAGAGGTGTGGTCCTGGGTGGGCAAGAGGTGAGGTCGTGGGTGGACAAAAGGTGTGGTCCTGGTTGGGCAAGAGGTGTGGTCCTGGGTGGGCAAGAGGTGAGGTCCTGGGTGGGCAAGAGGTGTGGTCCTGGGTGGGCAAGAGGTGAGGTCCTGGGTGGGCAAGAGGTGTGGTCCTGGGTGGGCAAGAGGTGAGGTCGTGGGTGGGGGGGGGGAGAGGTGTGATCTTGGGTGGGTAATAGTGTGCGCCTGACGCATGGATTTGTCTTATTCTGCCGCATGGATCCTACTTCTGCCGCAGGTATCCTCTCTCTCCTGTCGCAGATATCTCCCCTCTCCTGCCTCGTGTATCCTCTCTCCTGCCGCAGGTATCTTCCCCCTCCTGCCCCATGTATCTTCCCTCTCCTGCCGCAGGTATCTTCCCTCTCCTGCCGCAGGTATCTTCCCTCTCCTGCCGCCGGTATCTTCCCTCTCCTGCCGCCGGTATCTTACCTCTCCAGCCGCCGGTATCTTACCTCTCCTGCCGCAGGTATCTTTTCTCTCCTGCCGCAGGTATCCTCACTTTCCTGCCGCAGGTATCTTTCTTCTTCTGCCTCAGGTATCCTCACTCTCCTGCCGAAGGTATCTTCCCTCTCCTGCCGAAGGTATCTTCCCTCTCCTGCCGAAGGTATCTTCCCTCTCCTGCCGAAGGTATCTTTCCTATCCTACCGTAGGTATCTTCCCTCTCCTGCTGCAGGTATCCTCACTCTCCTTCCGCAGGTACCTTTCCTCTCCTGCCGCAGGTATCCTCACTCTCCTGCCGATCGTATCTTCCTTATCCTACCGTAGGTATCTTCCCTCTCCTGTCGCAGGTATCCTCATTCTCATGCCGCGGGTATCTTCCCTCTCCTGCAGGTATCTTCCCTATCATACCGTAGGTATCTTCCCTATCCTGCAGCAGGTATTCTCACTCTCCTACCACAGGTATTCTTGCTCTCCTGCCGCAGGTATCCTCTCTCCTGCCGCAGGTATCTTCCCTCTCCTGCCGCAAGTATCCTCTCTTTCCTGCCGCAGTTATCCTCCCTCTTCTGCCGCAGGTATCCTCCCTCTTCTGTCCCAGATATCTTTCTCCTGTTGCAGGTATCTTCACTCTCCTTCCACAGGTATCCTTACTCTCCTGCCGCAGGTATCTTCCCTCTCCTGCCGCGGGTATTCTCCCTCTCTTACCGCAGGTATCCTCCCTCTCCTGCCTCAGGTATCTTCCCTCTCCTGCCACAAGTATCCTTACTCTCCTGCCGCAGGCATCCTCTCCTTCCTGCCGCAGGTATCTTCCCTCTCCTGCAGCAGGTATCTTCTCTCTCTCCTGCCGCGGGTATCTCCTATCCCTCTCCTGCCGCAAGTATGAAAGTTAAGACACTTTCATCTTGTCGGTATTGTATACCTTTCTTGCACAGCCGCAGGCATCCTCTCTCCTGCCGCAGGTATCTCCTATCCTTCTCCTGCCGCAGGTATCCTCTCCTGCGCAGGTATCCTCCCTCTCTTGCCGCAGGTACCTTCCCTCTCCTGCCGCAGGTATCCTCTCTCTCTCCTGCCATAGGTATCCTCCCTCGTACCTTCTATCACAACTCGCAGGAGACCCCTACAATAGATCTCACTCCTCCAAGTTGAAAATTAAAAATTGAATGAAGTTAAAAGATGTTGATTGAAGAAGATGACGGTGGGCAGTGCTAGAGTCAAGTGGGCGGGTCCTCCCGCCTTCCTTCCCAATTATTATCTTATTACTCTCCTAATTAACGCTACTTTATAAATAAATTATCTCAGGAGCGTCATTCACTAGCTGGTGTTGACGTCTGACGTAAAGACTGGCGATAGGCAATGGCGCTCAGGGCAATGAAGACGTTCAGGTATTGTAGGAGAGGGGTCGTCCGCCAGCTGGGCATGGCAACACTGAGAACTGATGGGCAGCCCCCTCGGTGCTGATTGGTTGATTCGGCCTTCCAGGGAGGCCTCTGCGGCCAATGAGAGTCATTCGTTTTGCCCACCTGGAGTCACGGAAGATGTTAGTGTGTGTGTGTGTGTGTGTGTGTGTGTGTGTGTGTGTTTCTTACCGTACACCCACGTCTATCTTTCTATCGTATGTAAGTTGATTGTGGAAAATGCAATGGGCTTTTAGTGATTAGAAAGGTGTAGATGGAGAGGAGGTAGAGGAGGGGGGAGATTGGGGAGGAGGGTTGAGAGTTGCGTGCGCCGGAGTTGAACGCACGCAGAGTTCACGCAGAGCGCACAGTGCTGCCCACACCTGCTGAACTCACCAGCGGGGTACAACATTCTCTCATCAAACGCGGCCGCCACACCAACCCACCGCCACACTAGCCCACCGCCACACTGGCCCACCCCTGAAGACTCACCACTCCACTACATCACCACTACACACCAACTGCTTGCTTCAAACCTGCCACAATCACATATACGCTCCCCAGCATACCTGTCGAAGCGCGCGACTCCTGCGTATGTATATATCTATATATATATATATACCTCCCGCCAGTGAATTCCTTTCGTTGGGCACGACTCTAGCGTATATAAGCGTACATATCTCCTGCCAGTAAATCGACAGAAAAAGTGCTCGACAACGGAAGAAGGAAGGCAAGAAGGAAGGAAAGTGCGTGTGCGTGTGCGTGTGTGTGTGTGTGTGTGTGTGTGTGTGTGTGTGTGTGTGTGTGTGTGTGTGTGTGTGTTTGTGTGTGTGTGTGGAAGCTTTGAGTCAACGCAAGTCTCAACGCCCCCAGACGCCCGTGAGCTGAAAAATTTAGACGTATCGAGTGAGATCGATCGACATGGGTTACGTCGCCGGGGGTCAAGTGATGACTGGCCTACTGCTACACTGGTGACAGTGGTGGACGCCGGGTACCATTGCAGTGGTGAGGGGGAGGTGATGGTGAAGAAAATCCGCGGTGGACACTAATTCCAGTGGTGTAGGGGCGAAGCACTGGTGAACTGGAGTGCTTTAATTGACCAGTAGAAGGCAAGTAGTGTGGCTGGCGTTCAGTGTGTGAGGAATACGCAACAGGTAAGGCAGAAGCGTAATTAACGCACCTTACCTAGACAGTGATGTCTCCAGTTATCGAGACACGTCAGGAAAAAGAGCAGTAAACATCGTCGCGCCAGTGACGTTTAGTGAAAGCACTGACGTGCAGTGGAAGCAGTGAATTTCGTGGAAGCACTGACGTGCCGTGGAAGCAGTGTGACATGCCGTGAAAACAGTGAACTTATGCATGTGTACAAAACTTAGCAGTAAGATTAAGCGTGCTACGGACTCTGAAAAAACGCTGGGACGATAATTTAAGCGCGAGGAAGGTGCTCACACGCGAAAGAACACGAGCGCAGCGCGTAAATATCGCGCCTACGGAATATATACCAGTCCTTAGAGAACACTGGCCACACACACACACACACACACACACACACACACACACACACACACACACACACATACACACACACACACACACACACACACACACACACACACACACACACACACACATACTGTGAGCACACAGAGGCGATCCTCAACACCATAGTCATGCCAAACTCGGCTCTAAGAAGAAGCCGGGTCGTGGACAGGTCGTTACGATAGTGCCACTGAGTCGTTGGCACTACCATGGCAGCCAACACCTGTCGTTTCCCCGTGGTCGTTACGCTAATCACTGCCTCCGTCTCCATATCGCTGCATGCGTAAGTATTGTCATCACAGTGACTAGCCTTGCTGATGGTACCATGGTGGTATGGTAGATGAAATTGATGGTGGTATGGTAGATGAAATTGATGGTGGTATGGTAGATGAAATTGATGGTGGTACAGTAGATGAAATTGATGGTGGTACAGTAGATGAAATTGATGGTGGTACAGTAGATGCAATTGATGGTAGAGTGGTGGTATGGTAGATGAATCTAGAATGGTGGTATGGTAGATGAAACTGATAATAGCATGGTAGTACGGTAGATGAAACCGATAGTAGCATGGTACTATGGCAGATGAAATTGATAGTAGCATGGTGGTATGGTAGATGAAACTGATGGTATATCATGGTAGAATTGTGATACAACATGGAAGAAATGTGGTAGGGTGGGGAAGAACTGAGGTAAGGTATGGTAGTATAAATGGTATTGTATGGTAGACTTGCAGTATGGTATTGTTTTGGTATAATATGGGAGACTGGAATTATGGTATAGTAAAACTGTGGTATTATATGGAACAATTGTAATACTGTATGTTAGGACTGTGATATTGTATGGTTAAACTGTGGTTCTGTATGGCAGAATTGTGATATTGTATAATATAAGTGTGGTAAGTATAGTAGAACTGTGGTATGTATGGAAGAACTGTGGTACATGAGTGTATGGAATTACTAGGAGCGTAAATGAAAGTATGCGAGAGTACAAGGTAATACCACGAGATTACATGAAAGTACAAGAGAGCACATGGCAGTACAAAAGAGTACATGGCAATACACGAGAGTACAAGGCAGTAAACTAAAGTACATGAGAGAACAAAAGTACAAGGTTTCACACAAATTCGAATGCTAGTTACCAAGACTGTAGAAAGAGGATCCCCCATCGCCATACCAAACTACCCAGCACAGACCGCACCATCGAACCTAAACTTTGCACTGATAAACAATACACAAATCTATCTTAAGAACTGTTCGAATATATCTTACCAATGTGGTTCTAAGAGCAACCTAAATTTACTTTAAAGGAAATAAATTAATTTTGTGATATTCCTGTGATCTTCTGTAGCACTGGAGCAAATCTGAGCATATGCACAACCTGATTGGCAGAGTCGTTATTGCTGAATGAGACGATCTGATTGGCAGAATCATCAGTGCTGAATGATACGATCTGATTAGCAGAGCCATCGCTGCTGAATGATACAATCTGACTGGCAGAACCATCATTGCTGAGACACCCTGGTTGGCAGGGCCATCATTGTTGAACGAGGCACCCTGATTGGCAGAGCCATCATTGCTGAATGAGACAACCTGATTGGCAGAACCATCATTGCTGAGACACCCTGATTGGCAGAGCCATTATTGCTGAATGAAGCACCCTGATTGGCAGAGCCATCACTGCCTGAATAAGACACCCTGATTGGCACAGCGAGCATTGCTGGCTGAAACAAGTTGAAAAGTTTAGCTTGAAAGGTGCCTCCTTTCTCTCCCTCCCTGGCTCCCTCACTCCCTCCTTCCCCTCCCTAGCTCCCTCACTCCCTTCTTCCACGCCTCCTTCCCCTCCCTGGCTCCCTCACTCCCCCATTCCATGCCTCCTTCCCTTCCCTAGCTCACTCACTCCCTCCTATGCCTCCTTCCCCCCTCCCTCACTCCCTCCGTCCCCTCCCTCCTCCTATGCCTCCTTTCCCTTCCTGGCTCCCTTACTCCTTCCTTTGCCTCCTTCCCCACCCTGACTCCCTCCTCCTATGCCACCTTCACCTCCCTGGCTCCCTCACTCCTACGCCTCCTTCCCCACCCTGGCTCCCTCCTCCTATGCCTCCTTCACCTCCATGGCTCCCTCACTCCTACGCCTCCTTCCCCACCCTAGCTCCCTCCTCCTATGCCTCCACCTCCATGGCTCCCTCACTCCCTCCTTCTATGCCTCCTGTTGTCATGCATTATTCCTCCCCGCTCCTCCATCCATAATGCATTAACTATTTCTGGTGACTAAGTGCTTAGCCTCAAGAATGAACAGCATATGAATTGTTGTTGTTTTGTTGTTGTTGTTGTTGTTGCTGTTGTTGCTGTTGTTGTTGTTGTTGTTGTTGTTGTTGTTGTTGTTGTTGTTGCTGCTGCTGTTGTTGTTGTTGTTGCTGCTGTTGTTGTTGTTGTTGCTGTTGGTTGTTGTTGTTGTTGTTGTTGTTGTTGTTGTTGTTGTTGTTGTTGGTGGTGGTGGTGGTGGTGGTGATAGTGGTGGTAGGGCTACGTTGGTCTTCCTACCTGTCGTATACCTGTGTGTAACAACAAGACCCTGATCGCAGCCACAGAACAGCTGAATTAGATCGACATCTCCTTCGAGATCCTCAGACGGGCCACCTTAGGATTAAGACCCGTGTCAGGACGCACCTCCTGACGAATTAAGCAAACAAAACCCGTGTGTATTGATTAGGAGATCATTGCCCTGGTAGGTCGGTCCTGGACCAGGTCTCCACGCTGCCTGGTCAGTCAGGCAGCTGGTGCTCAGTGCCACCAAGTCTGACACGATCAACACAGCTCGGCTGAAACAGTAATTTGGAGGAACCTATCAAGTTCATTTTTAGAGATAGTTAAGGCTTTAATGATAGTTCCCTCTTAGAGATAGTTAAGGCTCTGCAACATATGGGAATCTTTATTGAGGAAACGTTTCGCCACACAGTGGCTTCATCAGTCCAATACAAAGTAGAAAGGTGTAAGGAGAGGAGGAGTTTGAGGTAATCTTGTACATTGACGGACTGAACACATCGACTCCAGGCTATGGGACTGATTACCTCAAACTCCTCCTCTCCTTACACCTTTCTACTCTGTATTGGACTGATGAAGCTACTGTGTGGCGAAACGTTTCCTCAATAAAGATTCCCATATGTTGCATTAGTGTCTCAATCTTTAACTTGTTGGTTTTCAAAACCATTCATCATAGTTAAGGCACTATTGGAGGTAAATTTCTCAGAGATTACTAAGGGTCTACTGGTAATTTCCCTCATAGAGACAGCCATATCTATAGTAGTTATCTCCTTCAGAGATAGTTAATGGTCTATACACAGTACCACTTTTTTTATAAAGAGGGTTTTAAAACCCATGGACACCAATTTTAGCAGAGCTCTTGGACTACCCCCACCCCTCCTCCCCTGGTAAGGAAAAATTTCAGTGTGGAGATTTGAAACCGGTTCCTCCAGCGATTTTTCCAGCTTTAAAAGTATTGCACATCTTCCTGGTTTGTATCCCCCAAGGAGTAAAATTTGAGGGATATAAGTCTTATTTGGAGTGATAAAAACAGTGAAGATCTCTGTATATTGGTCAAATCTTCAATTCTGACTGGCTTAAATAAGATTGATAATGCGGAATATGCCAGATCTAGGGAGCACAAATAAATTGATTGCCTCTACTGCCATGGTATTTTTTTTCCTTGCTACCCAGCCCATATATTCTCTAGTAACATTAACGTTCTTCTTGAACGCCAGATCTTGTGACACAGTTCCTTGAACGCCAGATCTTGTGACACAGTTCCTTGAACGCCAGATCTTGTGACGCAGTTCCTTGGACGCCAGATCTTCTGACAAAGTTCCTTGAATGCCAGATCTTGTGAGAGTTCCTTGAATGCCAGATCTTGTGAGAAAGTTCCTTGAACGCCAGATCTTGTGACACAGTTCCTTGAAAGCCAGATCTTGACAGTTCCTTGAACGCCAGATCTTTTGACACAGTTCCTTGAACGCCATATCTTGTGACAAAGTTCCTTGAATGCCAGATCTTGTGACACAGTTCCTTGAACGCCAGATATTGTGACAAAGCTCCTTGAACGCCAGATCTTGTGACACAGTTCCTTGAACGCCAGATCCTGTGACGCAGTTCCTTGGACGCCAGATCTTCTGACAAAGTTCCTTGAATGCCAGATCTTGTGACACAGTTCCTTGAACGCCAGATCTTGTGACGCAGTTCCTTGGACGCCAGATCTTCTGACAAAGTTCCTTGAATGCCAGATCTTGTGAGAAAGTTCCTTGAACGCCAGATCTTGTGACACAGTTCCTTGAACGCCAGATCTTGTGACGGAGTTCCTTGGACGCCAGATCTTCTGACAAAGTTCCTTGAATGCCAGATCTTGTGAGAAAGTTCCTTGAACGCCAGATCTTGTGACGCAGTTCCTTGAACGCCAGAGCTTGTGACAGTTCCTTGAACGCCAGATCTTCTGACAAAGTTCCTTGAATGCCAGATCTTGTGACACAGTTCCTTGAACGCCAGAGCTTGTGACAGTTCCTTGAACGCCAGATCTTGTGACGCTGTTCCTTGAACGCCAGATCTTATGACACTTCCTTGAACGCCAAATCTTGTGACACAGTTCCTTGAACGCCAGATCTTATGACACAGTTCCTTGAACGCCAGATCTTGTGACACAGTTCCTTGAACGCCAGATCTTATGACACAGTTCCTTGAACGCCAGATCTTGTGACACAGTTCCTTGAACGCCAGATCTTATGACAGAGTTCCTTGAATGGCAGATCTTGTGACAAAGTTCTTTGAACGCCAGATCTTGTAGCAGAGTTCCTTGAACGCGACATCTTGTGACAGTTACCCTTAGGTCAAATATATTCTTCGGATTTAACCGCATTTTAGCTTACAATAAATGCATTTCTTAACATTTTCTGGCCGTGGCTGAAGGTAATCCTCTTTGAATATTATATTGTGTTCCTTTACCCACTGCAAAACTTGATTTACATGGGCACGTTGTGTCATCCATGGATGACATGTTCATACATGGTCATGGATGTTTGTTGTGTCATACATGGATGACAGGTTCATACATGGTCATGGATGTTTGTTGTATCATACATGAAGGCTATGCATGGCGTTGCAATACTGTCGAAGGTGAGGTTGAAGGTCTCGAAGGCGATGCATGGGACGAGGCTCACTAGCAGAAGTAGGAAGTTGTGCAAGAAAGGTATAAAATACCGACAATATGAAAGTTAAGACACATGTGCAACATCTGGATATCTTT